AGTACCTAGAATATCGCTCGTCCGTGACCGGACACACTGTATAAATTAAATCAGAACACAGATCAACATCTAATAGCGAAACCAATAGTCTCTTTCGAGCAAAGAAACAGTTATAGTTCTTAAAAACATATCCAAACTTTCAAAAGGGTGCAATATATACTTAATTTTCGATCTCCTTTTGAGTTTAAGTGAAAATGTAGTGGAAGTAGATGCCTTTACTTTAGTTAATTATATTTAAAACCAGCATGTAGACATAAAATAAATTAATAAGGAATAGTTGGCAAATAAAATGTATGCTGCATAAGTAAGTGACAGAGTCAGCAAGGGATGCCTTAAACTGAAGTTTATCGACAAAATTGGCGATAAATAAAAGCCAAGGTCAAATTAAGGGCCAATTTATGAGTACCTTTAACGAAAATAAGTCAGTGAAATTACATATGGTTGTGAAAGAAGCAAAAAAGTGTGTTAGGATTATGCTAAATGGTAGCCTTTGCCTACCACAAAAAGGGTGACAAACGTAAGTGTTTATATACGCATTTATGTAGCCAATTTGAACGGCCTTAAAGACAAAGACGATATATTCCTCTTAATTCGGCTTTAGCGTTCTAATACAAAAACGTTATCTTATACGTGATAGAGCCATGCTATATTAGTAGTATAATTTTAGCACGAATGGATCGGCTCGACCGGTGAAGGTCCACGTCCTCACAGAATATCAGCGTAAAATAGTAGATTAATGCTGCGGTGTTTCGTATGTGCGGCAAATAATACAGAAGACAAAAGAGTATAATCAGCCCCTGTGTCTTAAATTTTGTGGACTATGAGAAAGCCTTTGACTCCATATAAACTTGGGCTGTTCTGATTCTTTTCAGTGGTGCCAAATTGACTGACGGTACATAGAACTGCTGAGATGCCTTTACAATACCAGTACGATATCTGTCCAAGTACAGGACAGTCAAACAAAACCAATTCAATTGCAATTCAGTGCATTTGTTAACAGTTCAGGGGATATAATATCCCCTGAACTGTTAACAAATGCACTGAAAGATGTTTTTAGACGCTATACTGCAAAGGACATGGAATTAACATAAACATATCATCATCATACTCGTGCAGAATTGCTGCAGGAACTTCAGGACATGCTGAACAGACTAAATGAATCCTCCCAACGTGTTGGTCTATTCATGAATCTGAACAAGACACAAGTTATGTTCAACGATCACGTCATGTCAGTTACAATTACTGTTGATGGTGAAATTCTAGAAGTTGTCCAGGAATATACCTACCTCGGGCAGATATTGCAACTAAGTAAGAATAACTTCGAAAGTAAGCTGATCGGAGTACTCAGTTAGGCTGAGCAGCATTTAGAAATCTCTGTCGGATTTTCTCGTCGCCTATACCGCAAAATCTTAATACAAAAGCATTCCTCTCTCTGGACGTCTACAGTACTAGTGGGCCTGATGGCGTCCCTCCTATAGTGCAGAAGACGTGTGCTCCGGAGTAGGCACCGGTTTTATTGCGTCTTTTCATACTCATACTCCCTAGGCGTAGTCCCAAAATCATGGGAGACAGCTTTCGTGCACCCGATCCCTAAAAAATATGAGACGAACTAGTTTCTCGCCAATTCTGTCGATGTGCTCTGACTTTGCCTTGACAATGACACTTATGAATGACCTGTAGGCGGAATTATATTTCTTTATAGAGCGCTGATTTTTGCATACCTTTTTTACTGGAAATGAAGCATTTCATCTTAATTCACACGGGCGACAACGCATTTGAATTTTGATTCGTAATCGAAGATATACTATGTAGATGTCTATGCGCCCCAGCAACCAATTACCACCAGGTGGACTGTGGACTGTATCAAAATCTCGTTGAATTGTAACTGGAAGAAAACTAGAAAAACGAAACAGCTTCTTACTTCATACAGGTCCCATTAATCGTGAATCATACATGTTACACGTGAGTAGACCTAGTCAGTAAAGAGACGAGTCGTAAGTACTCTCACTCTCACTAATTCCAACTGGTGTTACAATGGAACTTCTATAAAAGCTTTTTATATGCCTTAACTGTATAAAATATATGTGCAGAATAAAACTATTGAGCTATTGCATAGCTTCTATCGCGGACCTTGAGCGCGGTGACCGAATCCAGAAATTCCGTAACGAAAAAAAAACCTCACACTCCCCCACTCTGACGGGCACGGAGGTGTAGCGGTGAAAGCCGTGCATCGTCTAACGTCGTTTTAGTTCGGCAGACTTCGGCACTCAGGTGTTTGTGTGCGTGCGACTAGACGTATGCGTGTACACTAGCTGCTAACTCAGTGATAAAAATTCCTGAATAACCTACATGTATTGTAAGATATTAAAAATATTTTAAACAATATTAACTTCTCATTTATTCAATAAGAGAAAAAAAATTGTTTTCTTATCGGTCACCACGCTCAAAAAGTGTAACTTGATTTAATATCAAAGACTTAACTGCATAAATAAAATAAATAAATAATTATAATTGCATAAGTTGATAAAAAATGCTATGCAATAGCTTTACCGCGGCAGTCACCGAGTGCCACACGTATTTTTTTAGTTATTTATCGCGATTAATTATACTTATTTTTTCATTTCGTCTTGTTTCGTTTCGGTTCCTTTGCAGCACATGAGTGCCACAGAGTGTCACGGGGTACAATGGATGGTTGCGCCAAAAACACACATTTACATCTGTGGTAATTAGCTAGTTAAGATTAGCCGGTACAGTCTCCCTTTTCACTTCCGATTCTTTCCTGCACGGGCATGCCCAATAGAGGATTAGAAATGGTGGCGTCATTTTGTTTGGTCCAATGGGATGGCTCCAAATAGTGAAAGGCCGGAAGCACGCCACCGGTGCAGACCAGCAGTCATCGACACGCGTTGCCGCTTATTGCACAGTAGCAGCGCTTTGCCGTGATTGCACTCCGTGGTATTCGAGCCACACACAGTACAAAACCATAGTCGTGACTGCTTGCAAAGTGTAATTTCGTTGTACACTAGTAAAATGCCATTCGTCGTAGCATTTAGTCGACCTCAGTGCGTTTGCGTCGCGCACAGTATACAATTTAGCAACGTAGTTCCGAGGCCTCAAAGCCTCGAAGAGAGGCCGCTTGCAGACACCCCAGGCAAGCCCGTTTCTATTTATGAGCTATTTTTATTTGTTACCTTTTTTTCACAACAACACATGCTCATGTCGTGGCAGTTAATATAATAGCTAAAAATAGTAAATATTTATGATTGATTTTGATTTGATTATATCAAGTATATTGTCTAAAACCCACCACGTGCCACGTCCACCATTTTGTTTTGGTTATAACTAACTACAGTCTAATAAACTGTTTACTTTGGTTGTTCTCGCATCCAATAATTTTGAGTCATTATTCCCGGAATCGAACCCGGGACCCTGTAGTCCATATATTTTGTGGTTTCTTCGCTTCGGATTTGGAAGGGCAAACTAGTTGCACTATCATTTTATGGTCATTCGTTCCGGATTCAAACCCAGGAACCTACGGCCCCACCATATTTGTGACCCTTCGTTCCGGAGTTAAATTAGCAGCCGTAGCCAGCTCAACCATATACCGTAAATCATCCAAAAAAGCCGGTATTTAAAATAATTAATATTGAACGCGATAAAACCTGTCAAAATAGTTTTATTCAATTTATAGTGTTTGCGTAAATATATGAATTCAAAATATTTATGCTTTCCATTTTGAAACGTTTTAGGTACTGCTGAACATAATTGCTTTTAGGTTGAATAAAATCTCGCAATCGCCGCACATTAAATTTTTGTTTATTTATTTATGCTTTCATGCACAAAAAAGTTCATATGGCGGACTTAATGCCATAGGGCATTCTCTCCCAGTCAACCATTAGGCTAAACAGAGATAGACATTATGGAGACGGTGCAGAAATAATCAAATAGAGAGGATAAAAGAAATAATAATATATATAATAAACAATACATACAAATCATACACACACACACACATATATATATATATATATATATATATATATATATATATAGATAGAATATATGTACATACATACATACACTATATACACATAAAAACATAAGTATATATCTATATTGTGTAATAAGAGAAGAGTGTGGTTTGCAAGATGATGTTGTGACCAGGATTAAGAAAGGAATGCTTCGGTGGTTTGGTCATGTGGAAAGAATGAATGAGGAAAGAGTGACAAAGAAAATTTATGTTGCAGAAGTGAATGGCAGAGTCGGAAAGGGACGTCCTAGGCGAAAATTTATCGACCAAATTGGCGATTTATTGAAAACGGGCCAAATTAGGAGTACCCTTAACCGACGAGCATGTATGCGTAGGTGTATGGATGTGAAGGAGGCGAGAGAGGTGTGTCAGGATCGTGCCAAATGGAAGTCTGTAGTCTCTGCCTACCCCTCTGGGTGACAGGCGTGAGTGTTTATGTTATGTTATATATCTGTATATATACATACACAATAGGTTAGAACAAATATGAAATAATACGAAAAAGAGAGCTGAGTTAATTCAAACTTGCAACGATTTAATCATATACTTACGGACTTGATTTTTAAAGAAGAATTTGTTAGGAGCTTTTTTTAATGTCAAGAGGAATGTCGTTCCAGAGTCTGATGGCCATGAGGGCGAAAGAGTGAGATAAATTTTGTTTTTTTTGAATGATTGTGTCATGAGCGTTTGTACTGAGCGGACGTGTCTCCTGTCGATCTAATTTTATCTGAAGTAACAACAATCAAAAGTAAATCTTTAAGTAATCAACGTAAAGACGATAACCTTGTGCATTCATTAAGGAACTTAAGCCTGTTATTATTTGTGTGAACAGTTTAGCAGTGTTTCTCAGTCAGTGAATCCCCACACCTCACCCCCTCGAGTAAAGGGTACGGGCTCTTAAATTTCTTGTCTCACTTGACGCTCGACATAACTGCATCACAGGCCTAATAATACTGGTTTGCGATACATTATGAACCCGCAAAAATCTCCGCCTGCGACCAAAGTTGGTCTTGTTAGTTCCCAGCACGACAATGCAAAATGCGATACCGAGGTTACACAGCAACGTAATATTATCCTCCAAAGATCAAAAAGAAAACAACCTGAAGAAGCAATGAAATCCGAATTAAATGATTTTAGGAAAGAGATAATGTCCTTTCTTACTGAATTCAAAACTTCGCAAGAGGAGAATATTAAAAAAATACATGAAGAAGTATCGTCATTAAAGGAACAACTAAATAATCTAAAACAAATTTCAGATATTCTTTCTCAGGACCAAGTAACTATTAAGGATACTTTAACTTCTATAAACTCAGCTCAACAGGCTACGGCAAACACAATTACCGAAATGCAAGCCTCCTTGGAATTCTCATCCAAGCGCATCGATACCCTACAGGAACGTGCAAATTGTTCAGAAGAAAAACTTAAGATTCAATGTCGTGAAATTACCGAAATGCAAGTGATATTAGACAGGCTTTCCTTCAAAACCCAAAGACAAGAGCAGTGGGCACGTCAGTTAAATGTAGAAGTGGTGGGAGTACCAGAAATTAAAAACGAAAATCTAACAAATATAGTATTAAGCATAGCAGAAAAAGCAGGTGTTGTGTTGAGCGCCGGCGATATGGAAAGCTGCACAAGAGTACAATCGAAAGATCCCGTTAAAGGTCGACCCCGCAATATTATTATAAAAATGTCCTCCCGTATTCATAAAGATAATCTCATTGCTGGCGTCAAAAAACATCGTGGCATCACTACTGGAGATCTTGGGCACGGAGGTGAACTCAAGAAAATATATGTTAACGAGCATTTAACTCTTGATAACAAGAGGCTATATAAAAAGTGTCGAGAAATAGCTACCGAGCTAGGCTATAGGTACATCTGGATAAAAAACTGCAAAATATATGTTCGTCGAAACGATACGTCACCACACATTATTGTCAATTCAGAATTGGACTTAAAAAAGTTGAAATAATGTATACAATAATAGTTAGTATAGACCTACTTAGCAAGTTTTTTTATAATGTAAGGATACATTGTGAAAACATGTCATATTATTGTCATAAAGGTACGTTATTTTATTCTAAAATATTGTATAAAAAATACACACACACATTAAACACTAACACACAACACATCATAAACACCATTATACAATTTACAAATTGCAACCATAATCAATTTCAAATAGCAGTCGATCTACATTATACATCACAAAATTACCTTGTTTTCTTTCTATCTATCAATACACATAATATATACGCATCCACAAATCATTCCCCAGTTTTTTGCATACTGTCGGTTTATTTAAACTCACAAGTACAAAAACTGTGCCTATTAATATCAATTGCTCAATCAAATAATATGTTTTTCTATTTAATTAAACTGTTTATCTGTCATAATCATTACCAGCTGATACAAATTATAATATTATGTATTAGGTTTGGGTACATGTTTACATTTAAGTATGTATATGCATGTGTGTATATACAATGTGTATATTTATTTATTTGCATTAGTGAGTTAACTATGTTTAAAATCTATTATTTATTTTATTTATTATATGTTAAAATAACAAGGCAAAGCGATTATTTACACAATAGGTAAGACACCAATATCTGTCTATTATCAAAATGTACGGGGATTACGTACAAAACTTCATACGCTTTATCTAGAAATATTAAATAATGATTATGACATCATTATTTTAACAGAAACCTGGTTTCACGATGGTATCTTGGATGGGGAGATTTGTGATAATCGGTATATTGTGTACAGACAGGATCGTATACTAACGGAAACAAGCAAAACATCAGGTGGAGGTGTGGCAATCATAATTCGTCGTACACTTAATGCGACTATGGACGATTTGTGGAAACAGCCGTGCGCTTCTATCGAGACGCTTTGGATAACAATACCGGTACTGAGTGTGAGTCATACGTTCACAACACGAAGCGCACACGTTCCCTCGCGCTATGCCCCTCACACCCCGCTTGGACAAAAACTGCATATCATAACTACGTATATACCGGGTAAATCGTCAAAGCATCGTCGTACGGACGAAATGCACGCAAAAGATATTAAATCGTTCTTGGAATCGTTTAGTAGTAGAATTATCTCGCGCGACTTTTATGTAATTGCAGGTGATTTTAATTTATCTAATATACACTGGAATGAGAGTGGACCTATAATACTAAGACAGGGTTCTACCGAGTTACTAACTATAGGGGAGCAATTAATAAACGAACTAGCCTACCATGGTTTCCGACAATACTCCAATATAAAAAACAGTTGCAATAACACATTAGATTTAATTTTCTCTAATATAGACACAGAAATAATATTATGTGACAAACCCTTAACTAAGATAGATATATTTCATCCTCCCTTCGAATTTGACTTAAATGTGGCTATCCCTCCTCTCAAATGCTCTTTTATTAAGAAAAATAAGTTTTATTCAGCTGATTTTGTTAAAATAAACACATATTTATGTGAAATCGACTGGGCCACTCACTTAAACACTGGACATGTTGAAGAAGCTGTAGATTTCTTTTACAAACAACTCAATTATTGCATAGACAAATATGTACCAAGTGTAATATCTCTACCTCATAACACGAAAAGGCCCCCATGGTATAATAAAACATTGATTAATATCTTAAAAGAAAAAGCTAAGGCTCACAGAAATTGGAAAAAGTTTCATAACTTAGCGGATTACAATATGTTCTCTTTATTACGTAAGCGTGCGTCAGTTTATAATAAACAATGTTATAATAATTATTTGGATACTACTCAACAAGCCATACTGAATAACCCTAAATGTTTCTGGACTTTTATCAAATCAAAACGTGGTAATACTTATTCTTATCCAAATAAAATGTCGTATAAAAATACAACGCATAGCGAAGGCCCAGCAATTGTAGAAGTCTTCAGTTCATTTTTCAAAAGTGTTTTTATCCCGCCTGCTCCTTCATATCCTGATGTTGCATTACCTATACCTTCTAGTAGCAACGACCGACATTTACATTGCTTTCGGGTTTCCAAGGCAGATGTTTTTAAAGCGCTACAGAAAGTAGATGTAAAAAAGGGACCGGGTAGTGACAAAATCCCACCTATATTTATATTCAAATGTGCTAAGTCATTGTCTGAGCCTCTTCACATTTTATTCAATAGATCTCTTCAGGAAGGTTATTTCCCATACATCTGGAAAGAAGCTCATGTAGTACCCATATTTAAAAAAGGAACCCGTATTAAAGTTGAAAATTATAGACCTATATCTATACTTAATATATTCGCGAAAATATTCGAAAAATTAGTATTTAATTACATTTACCCGACCTTAAGTCGAGGTTTACCAGAATCTCAGCATGGTTTCCTCAAAGGCAGATCAACTATTAGTAACCTAACACATTTTATCACAGAGACTATCAATCATATGGATGGCGGGGGGCAGGTTGACGTGATCTACACGGATTTCGAAAAAGCCTTCGACCGCGTGGATCACGTCATCTTGCTTCGTAAGTTAAAAATACTAGGAATACACGGGGACCTTTTGCGATGGATTGAGTCTTACCTAAAAAATCGTTCCCAAGCAGTAGTTGTAGGAGGACACAGATCAAATTTTATAAAAATTACATCTGGTGTGCCACAAGGGTCTCACTTAGGGCCCCTCCTGTATAACACCTATCTATATGATATATATACATGCTTTAAACACTCCTCATTCTTGCTGTATGCAGATGACAAAAAAATATTTATTAAGATTAACAATTTAAATGATTGCCATAAGCTTCAAGAAGATTTAAACAGGTTGGACCATTATTACAAATATAATCGAATCACAGTTAATGTCAAGAAATGTCAAACTTGCACATTTACACGCAAAACTAAACCGGTTGAACATGCATACAAATTGAACGGATCAATAATTCAAAAAACAGAGGTAATCCGAGATCTTGGTATCTTATTGGATTCCAAGCTTACATTTAGTAATCATATTGACTACATCACAAATAAAGCATATAGAAACTTAGGCTTCTTAATACGTACATGCCAACCTTTCAATAACTTACCCTGTATTAAAGTATTATATTATGCCTACGTTCGCAGTATATTAGAGTATGGTAGCAACGTATGGTGTCCACAATACTATACGTATATTAACAAAATAGAAGTATTGCAAAAAAAATTTTTGAAGTTTATGGACTATAAAATTAAAGAACAACATCAAACATACAAAGAAAGATGTATATTCTATAAATTCCTTTCATTAGCAGATAGAAGAAAATTGCTTGATCAAATGACATTATATGATCTCATTCACGGCCGCCTAGATAATTCGCATTTACTTGGACTTATCAATTTCTCCACACCCATATATCGTACTAGACACACTAAATTATTTTTCATCTCTCACTCTCATACGAAATATACCAAAAACTCACCAATAAACCGGATGTGTTGCACCTATAATAATTTTTTTGACAATATTGATATTTTTACGAAAAAGAGAGAAAACTATAAAACTGAAGTATGCAAAAATCTCTTCAATAGTTATTCATGATTAAGGTATTAACTCAGATCAAATATATGAGCACAGACACACACACACACACACACACACACACACACACACACACACACACACACACACACACACACACACACACACACACGCACGCGCGCACGCACGCACGCACACACACACACATTATGTTGTTGTATATACAATGTTTATAGTAGTACCGCTGATTATTCTTTATACCGATAAGGAATCGTCGCTCATTCTTCTAAATTATGTTTAGATAATATAGGGAAACCTGTAATAAGGCTTATGTTAAGATAATCCGATCTGTTGTAAATTTTAATAGTTTAAAGCTGTTGGTTTTCTAAATAAATAAATAAATAAATAAATAAATAAATAAATAACCAGTACAGTGTAAAGGAGCGAGCAACTTAAGATTGGCCGAGGAAAGGAGGAGTATTGAAATTTAGATTGCAGATACTCGGGAGCACATGGATCGTTCAAAATTGAGAAAAAAGACGTGTGGCACTCGGCGACTGCCGCGGTAAAGCTATTGCATAGCACTTTGTATCAACTTATGCAATTATAATTATTTTTTATTTATTTTATTTATGCAGTATTTCTTTTTCTTCGATATTAATTCAAGTTACACTTTTTGAGCGTGGTGACCGATAAGAAAACAATTTTTTTCTTTTATTAAATAAATAAAAAGTTAATATTGTTTAAAATGTTTTTTATTATTTTACAATACATGTGGGTTTTATTATCTTACTGTAGCTGTTGGTTATTCAGGAATATTTATCAACACCGTGTCGAAGACTGCCGAAAAGAAACGACGTTAGACAATGCACGGCCTTCAAGCCACACCTCCGTGCCCGTCGGAGTGGGGAGCGTGAGGTTTTTTTTCGTTACGGAATTTCTGGATTCGGTCCCCGCGCTCAAGGCCCGCGATAGAAGCTATGCAATAGCTTAAAAAGGGTGCAGAGTATTCTAACATATCTGCGCTGACGGATAGGCAGCCAGTTTAACTGTGTACGAAAGGAAGATACATGGTCGTATATACAAAGACCATAATGTATCTGATGCAGTTGTTAAGCAGACGATCCAATGTATTAAGATGAAGTTGAGACAGGTCTGAGCAACACACATCGACATAATCAATAATCGGTACAATAAGTGATTGGACAAGTAAAATCTTGGTATTGGTGGGAAGAAAGTTTTTAAATCGATATAGAGATCGCAAAGTTCTAGTGGTTTTGCGTCTCACCTCCTGTATATGTTTGTTCCTTGTTAAGCAACTATCGATGTACAGACCAAGATTCTTTACTTTAGTAGAAAATAGTATGACATTATTATTAAACATAATTGATGGTAGGGTGGGAATATCCAGTTTAGATAATAATCTTGAGCTACCTAAGATTATCGTTTGGCATTTAGACGGGTTCACGTTTATGCCATACACAGTAAACCATTCTGAGATATATTTCAAATCATCATTTAACAGTGAAATAGCACTTAGGATATTTTAAGGCTCCACTTGCGCATATAACTGCAGATCATCAGCATACAAATGGTAAGAGCTCTTGAGATTTAGTGTGATGAGATTTATAAGTATAAAATGGAAAACAGAAGAGGAGAGATAATACCGCCTTGAGGCCCGCCAATCGACACATCACTCCAGTCAGATAGTATATGACCAGTACGCACAGTCTGTTGGCGCCCTCGAAGATATGTTGAGAACCATTCCTGAGCTGAAGACGAGATATTCAAATGAGAAAGAAGAGCTAACAAGTTACCATGATCGACAGAATTAAATGCATTAGAAAAATCAATTGGAGAGAACTTGATTTTTCCATCCCCTCACGAATTTCTTCCGTAACCTTGCGAAGAGCAGTAGTAGTAGAATGACCCGGGCGGACACCAGACTGATAAGGGGAAAGAATATTCTTTGAGAAAACAAAAGCAGAAATCTGTTTATGAGCAACAGCTTCCAGAACCCTGGAAAGAAAAGGCAGAATATAAATTGGTCTGAAATTAGATAAAGCGCTGCATTCAGTAGCTTTTGGGATGGGAATAATAAAGGCTTTACGCCAGAGAGTGGGAAAAGCACCATTCATCAGCGAAAAGTTAATTATATGAGTTATCACGGGTAAAACAGAATCCAGCACGTGCAAAACCATTACCCTATTCACATCATCACATCCAACGGCTTTCGATTTAATAGAGGAAAGTGCTTTGCGTACCTCGTCTTCGTCTACAGGAGTAAAACTGAAAGTCTCATGGGAATAAGGAGGCATGGAAGATATAAAAGAGATAGCATTAGCTCTAGAATCATCAGAAACTATTTGAGAAGACAGAAAATGACGATTAAAATTGTCAGGAGAAAAAGGTGACGCTATTATAGTCAAATTGCGATTTTCCATATCCAAGCGTATTCCTAAACTTCCATATATCAGCCGAAGATGAATTAAGTAGTTGTTCGTGGATATATCGGCGTTTAGCAGCTCTCACC